GTTGAATCTTGTAGTTGAGATTTTAGATTATTTGTATCAGATGGTTGGACATGTCTTCTTTTATATTTGTTGAGATCTGATTATTTAGAGATTTATCTAATATTTCTGTGTTCTATTTCTTATCATCATTTCCTTTATATCTGCTCGTACCTGTACTATCTTATTTGACTCCACAAGAGGATATCACTGTGATTGGTAAAACGTGTTTATGTATAGTGTGGGTGCATGGCAAGTTTAACATCTCTGTGTTCAGCTTGGACTGCAGCCATGTGTGAAAACAGAGGCGTCACAAAGAGCTCCTACTAAAATCAAAACAATGAATTTCCTTTCTGCTAATACACTTCCTCCAGCTATTGTTGATTACTAGGACTTCAAACCAAGGAGACTTGGTTGCAACTCACAAATACCTAGTACAGTCCCTAACATAGGAAGCCAAATATCGATTACCTTCCAATGATGCCTCCTTGAAAGGTCTCCAAATGCCTGAATGAATACCACCTAGAAGACCCCTTAATCGTCAAATAGAAGTGTCAAACTCCACCTCGGTCTCCTTGCTCATACCAATATGCTCAAAGGACTTCAATATGTAGGTCAAGGTACTTCTCAATAATCCAATATTCTAGCCTCAACTCCTTCTATCTCAGCTATCTATCTCAAAGCACCAACAAACCAATGCAGAACAAGCGAAGAATAGATCCAAACTGATAAATGAGAGATTTTTACCTCTAATTGAAACCCTAACAAGAGCCTCCAAAAGATCTCACCTCGCACGACAGAAACAAGATCCACAAATAGAAAAAAATCCCACCTTCATCACTAACTGAAGCCCTAGACTAACTTCTAAAGTGATCTACTCCTCCAATTAGCCCAAGAGTAGCCCAAGCTCTGATACCACTTGTTGGGCTCTGATAGCACTTGATGTGTGCGGCGGAAGCCAAACAACCGATGTGCTTCAATAAACCAAACAAATCGTCGAGAGAGAAGGCCACAAACTATTCAAAATAATAGCATGAACACAAACAACCAATTTTAACGTGGTTCGGCAAGTTGCCTACGTCCATGGGATAAGAAGAGGATGGGGTTTTCACTAATAGAGAATAAGAGTACAAACTGAGATTACAAATCACTCAAACTCACCAATTAATCTCACCAATAAATATCTAATTCTCTCCAAACAAAACCCTAACCAATAGCTCAGAAAATACCTCTTTTCTGTGCTCCAATTATCTCCAATTTACTACTCAATCAAAGCCAAAGAAACCCTCAAAATTGTGTTCCTATTTATATCAAAACAGAAATCCAAACAGAATCCAAATAAGAACTCTAACTATGCAGAAAACCCGCTATAAGTCGACTTAACAGGAGCTATAAGTCGACTTGGCAGAGCAAAAATCAATAACCAGAGAACATAACGTAAATCGACTTACCATGGACTTACCATAAGTCGACTTAACAGTCTCTATAAGTCGACTTGACCGAGCCAAAACCAATAATTCCAGAACAGAACGTAAGTCGACTTACCATCGACTTACCATAAGTTGACTTATGCTTGTGCATGAGTCGACTTATGACACAAAATCTGCAAAATCTGGACCGAAAACTGGAATTTTACTGAATTCTCCACAGACCCTAAGTAACTCTCATAACTATAGAATCTCTCAAAATAATCTATACTATTGATTTACTACTTTAAAGATAGGCTTGTGGGCTTATTTTCTCTTGCATTTAATTAATTAAAGACTCTTGGGCTTCTTAGGATTTAACTAAGCCATCAAACAATTGAATATAAATTAATTAAATTCAGAATTCTATAATAAATTTCTACTGCTGATAAACTTTCTGAAATCTGCAAATCTAGATGGCTTCATCTCTTCGAGATAGACTATTTTTATATATAATATGTTAAATTCTGCTTTATGGATTAGGAGATAACACATTTTCTTCATAGTTGACCATCCCGAGCACAAAATTTACTTGGTTTATTTTCATATTTGATTTGATGCTCAATTGTAGGTAAAGTTATTGATAATCACTGGCCAAGAAAATGATGAATGTTGAGATTTTACTTATAGTCTTGGACTTGGGCTTCAAACTTATGCATTTTGTGCTTCATTAGAGATCTTTTGGACTCGAGATAATTTTTATTTGAACTCTTATTTGATGATTGTTTATTACATGAAAATTAAGATAAAACAATATTATTCATAGATATATTTATTTAAAAAAAATAGATAACAAGAGCATAAAAATAAAATAAAATGTAATAATCAAGTGGTGTTTTTAAAGAGAAGAGATTTTAGTATAGTAAGTATACAATTCTGCCATCTCTTAGGGCGTGTTTGGTTTCGAAGATTTCTAATAGAATTTTAGATTTATTGACCATAAAAAAGCTATCAGAGCAGAATCTAAACTTACAATTTTGTTCTCGTATCCAAGAGGGTTTAGTCAAGTTCATAAACTGCATATGAGTAGTACTCCAAGCCTTCATATTTGACTCTTTTAGGAAGTACACACAAGAACTTAATTTAGTAAAATACTTAAGGGTGTGCATCGGAGGTGCCTTCTAACCACGCCTGAGTTGTTTATACTCATAGTCTGAAGAAAGTTAGGGGGTTATTGGTTGGGATAAGTTAGGGCTAAGTGGGATAATTATTCCAATTGAACAATTTTATCGCTGTGGGATATTTTGAGTGGGGTAAAGTGGGATAAGTGAGATAATGGGATAATTTGAATTTTTAATTTGACAATTCATGTGGGATAATTGATGATATGGCACCTTATTAATATAATTTATCTATCAAATACTTCTAAATTAACTCATCCAAATGGTTTAGTATATTATTTAGTATATTATTATAATATAAATATTATTTCACTTTATACTAAAATATAATATGTTAAACTAAATTTACTAATTAATATTATTAATTATATTAGCAAGCTATACTATATAATAGCTCATATAATATAAGAACAATATATTTAATATAATATTTTAATAATATAATATTTAATATAATACATTATTTTATTTATACAAAAATATAATATGTTATACTATCATTATTAATTAATATTAGTAATTATTATATTACATTATATTGGTATGCTACATTATATAATATAAAATTGTATAATAATATATATTAAAAGATATCATGTTATAGTATAATATAATATATTATTTCAAACTGTTGTATTATGTTATATTATATCATAATATGTTATTAATATTAGTAATTATTGCACTATATTATAATTGTATGTTATATATATAATAACTGATATATATATATGAATGATATATTTAATATAATATCTAATTTAATATATCAGAATAGAGTCGTAGGTTAAAATTTATTGTATAAAATATTGTAATATTTTTCATTCAATATAATATTATTTAAAATAATATATTGTAATTAAAATGTAGTATAATATTATATGATAATTACTATGATATATAAAAAATATCTAAAGCATAGTATATTATAGTACAATAATATATTATATTAATATAATATAATCACATGACATGATTTATATTATATTATATTTTATAATTAAATGTAATATACTAATATTTTTTATTCATTTTAATATGTTATATTATATTATTATGTTGGTTTAATATAATACACTATAATATAATTGCTATAATAAAATATTAACTGTATATTTAATATAATATATTATTACATAATATTATAATAAATATGTTGTACTATTATATAATATAATATGTGATATTGCATAATAATATATGCTAAATATAATAAAATAAATTATACATATAAATTAAACTATAATAATATTTTATTCTATTATATGATAATATAATACATTTAGTATATTATTACTTTATATTTTATATATAATGTTATATACTTATAATATAATTAGCGTGTATTAGAAATAAAAAAGGTTTTAAAATTATCTTAATTGCCTTCAAACTGAAACATAAATGTTCTAATATTGAGGATGGGGTAAATTTTTACTATTCGAACAAAACGTTTGTATATGAGTGAGATAATTTTATCCTAAGTAATGAAATTATCTCACTAGTATTCCAATAAACCAATGACACTAAAAGATAGTAACATTATTCAATTGTCCTAATGAATGAATATCACTATGAAATAGAATCCGTAAAAATATCATATTATACTCCCAGATTTCCTAATGAAAATGCCCTTAGAGAAGTTCGTACTAAAAAAACCAATTCATGTTTGGTTCCAAGTAAGTTCAGCACAGGGATAATAAGGGACACATGGTGACAGCTCACCAAAACACAATGTCAGAAGATCCTCACCGCTCCCTCTCGATTTTGGGAGCAAACGAGCAAAAGAACTATTTAACACAAAAACGTGGCTCCCATGCCTTTAAATCCCCTACATTTCATACGGAAACAAATCATAATAAAATAGCAGTGGGGTCCAAACATCACAATCAAACATTTTCAAACTTATATAAACCGAAGAAGAGATTATTAGAATCTTTTTTTTTTCGGGAAAAATGTGTCGAGGCCCCAAAAGCTGAAAAACCATGTGACGAGGCCCCTTATATTTTCCCCCTTGGGTATAAGCCCCAAAAAACAGCCTCTAATATTTCTAGGGCCCGCCACGTCAGCTGTATACAGCCAGAGGCATTATATTTTAAAAAAACCAGCCTCTAATATTTCTAGGGCCCGCCACGTCAGCTGTATACAGCCAGAGGCATTATATTTTAAAAAAACCCGACTTTGCCCTTCTCCTTCTTCCGTATACAGCCAGAGGCATTATATTTTAAAAAAACCCGACTTTGCCCTTCTCCTTCTTCCCCAGACGCTTCGTCACCTCTCTTCGTCACATCCCATTAAATGCAAACCACTGTAAGAAATGGAGGGAAATTTCCCCCATTTTTCAGTCTATCATGAGCAATAAATATCTAGTTATCCATTACTCTTCCATTACTCTTCCTCAGACCCAAATTCTCTCCATTACTCTTCCCTCCACTTCATAATGGCTGAAAAGGACATCACCTGCATCGTAGCTTCGGGTGATAGAGCAGTATTCATGAAGATTAACACTTCAACCACCATTCTTGATCTAAAATTTGATGTGTCAGATAGGTTAGATCTTCCATATGAATCATTAAGTTTGTCATTCAAAGATGAAACGAATGGAAGCTTCAAATTTCCTATCGGATTCTAATAGATTTGCTAGTTCTAGCCCACAACTTGTAGTTATAAACCCAGCCAGCGGTTTTAAATGAAAACTTGTTAAATCTAGCTATTACGTTAGTTCTACCTTCTATCCCACTAGTTCTAGCTTGTATACAGCCAGTTCTAGCCCACAACTTGCTAGTTCTAAACCAAGCCGATTTTTTTTCATGCTAAGTTGTTAATTCTAGGTACTACGTTAATTCATGTGATATCAGTTAATGTCGGTTCTAATAGATTTATTGTTAAGTATAATCTATTAGTTGTTAGTTCCAATAGACTTATTGTTAGTGCTAATCGATTTGCTATGAGATCTAGTTCAAACTGTGTTAGGTCCAACATGTTAGTTCTAAGTGACTTCATGTTCGGTCTAAATGTTTTCATGTTAGTTCTAAATGAAATCTTTTTAGTTCAATTGGATTCCACGATAGTTATAACACAAGCAGTTGATGTGTTTTTGCAGAATCGTTATTTGTGTTATTTGTTGATGTTTCTATTGTATAGTTTATGATCATTTGTTCATGTTCTTTAAATTTGCAGCGCTACCAGCAGCATGAACTCAAAAAGCATAAAGGGTGGCCCGCCGTTGTCGACGCCCACATGTGTTTCAGATAGGATCCCCAATGATAATCCTTCTGGAGATAATGTTCCGATGATTGATGACATGATTAGCAGATCAGAGAGGATTCCTGCTTGGTGGCACACTGCTTTAACCGATGAGGGACAACGGTTTGAGAGTGCGAATGAATTAAGATTGGCTTTACTATACTATTCCATGGCCAAAAAATTCGAGTACTTGTTTGCTAAGAATGAACCGAAGCGTATTCGAGTCTTTTGTCGGTTCAAGGAAGCCCAAAATTGCCCGTGGATGTTATTTGCCTCTCCAACACAAAATGAGAACAGACTTGAAATCAAAACCTTCGTGGACAACCACACATGTGGGAATTTTGGCAATAATGCAGGTCAATCTAGGGCGTCACGACAATTCATTGCGACCCAAGTATTACCCACGTTAAAGGTCCGACTAGATTTACGACCTATCGATGTACAAAAGGAGTTACTAACTTCGTATGGGCTTAGGGTCGATTGTAGCAAGATATGGTGGGGTAAAGAAAGAGCACAAGAGCAACTATATGGTGATGCCCATGAGTCCTACGATGGGTAAAGAAAGAGCACAAGAGCAACTATATGGTGATGCCCATGAGTCCTACGATCAATTACGATGGTAAAAGAAGATAATATCTATAATATAGACACTAATTTCATTTATGTTGATCCTAACATATAATCTTCAATGGTCTAGGTATGTAGAAGAGGTTAAGAAGACAAACCCAGGTAGCTACATTCATGTTGAACAAAATGAGGGGAGGTTTTCAAAGCTATTCATCTGTTATGCCGCCTGCATAAATGAGTTTTTGAACGGTTGTAGACCACTTATATTTTTGGATGGTACTTTTCTGAAAGATCATTTCAAAGGTATACTCCTCAGCGCCGTTGCATACGATGGAAATCAGGGGATATTTCCATTAGCCTATTGCATCTGCGATCAGGAAAATACTGTAAACTGGAATTGGTTCTTACAAGGTTAGTTCGGGTAATGTTAGTTCTACTAGAATTCATGCTAGTTCTAACTCATTCGTTGTTAACTCTAACTTCAAATATGTTAACTACAAATATTTATAGGTTTATGGTCTACTCTCTATGAAATGCCAGATCTATAGAACCCTCCACACAAGCTAGTTATAATATCTGATGCGGATAAGGGGATCAGAGAAGCAGTCAGAGAATATTTTCCGGATGCTATACACTCTAGATGTGTTCTGCATCTAGTTGAGAATTTCAGGACAAAGTTGCGGGATTTGGGTTTCAAGGCAAAGGATACTCGGATTTTGGGCAACCTTTTGCAATCTGCTTGTTGAACTGACATGAACTCTAACTCAGTATTTTTGATGAATTCCCTGTTATGTTCCAGATATGGTCATGTTACATCAAATGTTGCAGAGTCATTCAACAAATGGATACATGAGGCTAGGCTTCTACGGATACTACAACTCGTAGAACACATACGTAAACAGATTACGGTTCGCATGAATGAGCGACGATTAATGGCTGAAAGTTGGAATGGATTTCTTTGTCCCAAAGTTGAACTTGTCCTCAAAGAGAACATGGAAAATGGGCGTCCATTGGATGTGCGTCAGTCTCATACAAGATTATTTGAGGTACAATCCCATAAAACTTGTAAAGTGGATCTTGACAATAAAACATGCACGTGCCGCGCGTGGGATGTAACCCGTATCCCTTGCAAACATGCATGTGCAACCATTATGTTTATGAAGAGGGATGTTTACCAATTCTGTGACTGGTTTATGATGGTTGAAGCTTTTTAAAAAGAGCTACGAGCCAATCCTCTACCCCATCCCCGATTACGAGAAGCGTAGCGTACCACGGGAGGAGATACAGATCCTACCACCATTAACAACAAAAAGGAAAGGGAGAAATAAGACCAGGCGTATCAACAACAGAACAGTTTACACCAGGCCACTTAAATGCTCTCGATGTCATGTGGAAGGTCACAACCGTAAAACATGTAATGAATCTATTGCTGACTAAGTACTTGATATGTTGTTAACTATTTTGCTTGTATATTTACAAACTAGTACGTTTTGTTTAATGTTGAAAGTATTCTCATGTGTGATGAGAACTAGCATCATCTCCACTAGCAAAAATGATGTAAGTATTAGAACTATACGAGAACAAATAGATCTGACAATGGCTAAGATAGAACAGACACGACAGCATCAAGAACTAAAACCACAGCAGCTAGAACAAACATTGACTATCCTAGAAATAACATGACAGCAAATATAAAAACTGCGCAGGTAAAATACGAAGGGCTGTCATTAGAACTAACGTGGAACCTATAATTAACAATTTAGCATGAAAAAAACAAGGGATGTCATTAGAACTAGCAAGATGTGGGCTAAAACTGGTGGGATACAAGTTAGAACTGGTGGGATAGGAGCTAGAACTAACGAGGAAACTATAATTAACAATTTAGCATGAAAAAATCAAGGGCTGTCATTAGAACTAGAAAGATGTGGGCTAGAACTGGTGGGATACAAGTTAGAACAAGTAGGATACAAGTTAGAACTAACGTGGAACCTATAATTAACAATTTAGCATAAAAAAACAAGAGCTGTCATTAGAACTAGCAAGATGTGGGCTAGAACTGGTGGGATACAAGTTAGAACTGGTGGGATACAAGTTAGAACTAACGTGGAACCTATAATTAACAACTTAGCATAAAAAAAACAAGGGCTGTCATTAGAACTAGCAAGATGTGGGCTAAAACTTTTGGGATACAAGTTAGAACTGGTGGGATACAAGTTAGAGCTAACGTGGAACCTATAATTAATAACTTAGCATGAAAAAAATAAGGGCTGTCATTAGAACTAGCAAGATGTGGGCTAGAACTTGTGGGATACAAGTTAGAACTGGTGGGATACAAGTTAGAACTAACGTGGAACCTATAATTAACAATTTAGCAAGAAAAAACCAAGGGCTGTCATTAGAACTAGCAAGATGTGGGCTAGAACTGGTGGGATACAAGTTAGAACATGTGGGATACAAGTTAGAACTAACGTGGAACCTATAATTAACAATTTAGCATAAAAAACAAGGGCTGTCATTAAAACTAGCAAGATGTAGGCAAGAACTGGTGGGATACAAGTTAGAACTGGTGGGATACAAGTTAGAACTAACGTGGAACCTATAATTAACAATTTAGCAAGAAAAAAACAAGGGCTGTCATTAGAACTAGCAAGATGTTGGCTAGAACTGGTGGGATACAAGTTAGAACTGGTGGGATACAAGTTAGAACTAACGTGGAACCTATAATTAACAACTTAGCATGAAAAAAACAAGGGCTGTCATTAGAACTAATAAGATGTGGGCTAGAACTGGTGGGATACAAGTTAGAACTGGTGGGATACAAGTTAGAACTAACGTGGAACCTATAATTAACAATTTAGCAAGAAAAAAAATCAAGGGATGTCATTAGAACTAGCAAGATGTGGGCTAGAACTGGTGGGATACAAGTTAGAACTGGTGGGATAGGAGTTAGAACTAACGTGGAACCTATAATTAACAAATTAGCAAGAAAAAAATAAGGGCTGTCATTAGAACTAGCAAGATGTTGGCTAGAACTGGTGGGATACAAGTTTGAACTGGTGGGATACAAGTTAGAACTAACGTGGAACCAAGAAATAACAATTTAGCATCAAAAAAACAAGAGCTGTCATTAGAACTAGCAAGATGTGGGCTAGAATTGGTGGGATACAAGTTAGAACTGGTGGGATACAAGTTAGAACTAACATGGAACCCAGAAATAATAACTTAGCATGAAAAAAACAAGGGCTGTCATTAGAACTAGCAAGATGTGGGCTAGAACTGGTAGGATACAAGTTAGAACTGGTGGGATAGGAGCTAGAACTAACGAGGAACCCATTAATAACAACTTAGCATGAAAAAACAAGGGCTATCATTAGAACTAGCAAGATGTGGGCTAGAACTGGTAGGATACAAGTTAGAACTGGTGGGATACAAGTTAGAACTAACGTGGAACCAAGAAATTACAATTTAGCATTAAAAAACAAGAGCTGTCATTAGAACTAGCAAGATGTGGGCGAGAACTGGTGGGATACAAGTTAGAACTGGTGGGATACAAGTTAGAACTAATGTAGAAGCATGCATTAAAAATTAGCGGTTAGAATCAACATTGTAGCCAGAATTAACAATTGCAGCAACTATAACACGCTCGAGGGCTAATAGAACTAATACGATAGCCTCTAGAAATAACATATCATTCGGTATAACGGTTTTAAATAGAATTAACAACGATTTATAAAAACATGACCGTGAGGTACGTTTATAACAACGATTTATAACAACCGTCCACAACTTGCAACGTTTTTTAACAATGATTTATAACTATCAACGAATAGTTTCCTTCCATTACAGCAGCAAAATTTGACAGAAACTATCTTCATGCGGTGTTGTGGACCAGAAAGAACCTGGGTCCTCATTTGTTGCTTCCCTCGCTTTAGCGGTAGATGTCTGATAAAACTTTATCACTACTAGTTCTCTTACGCTTTCCGCGCGTGGATGATGGAGAGCTAGACTTTGATGAAGAACTTTGCGAGCCTGAAGTGTTTCCTGGCTGAGGAGAATTGACGGTGCGGTGAGCCGCCCCCAGATTGGAAGGGCCGATCCCTTGGTTTTGGAGAAAGCGCCGCCACTGTTCTCTATCCACAGTTATGTGCCTACCGTCCCAGCTAACCTCCTGCAACTCTGGATCATAACTAATAGGCTGCGCAGGCTGTAAACCTAAGTTAAGGCGAGTGGATCCCTGAGCCCTCTCCAAACCCGGCCTGCATAGGACCTGCGTTATGGCGTAGCCTTCCTTTAAGTTTCCGTCAACTGGAGATGTGTAACGGAACCCAAGCCTCTTAGGGATGGCAGATAAATCCCTAACCTTGAGGAGCACTTTGCAGTCTTCGAAGTTAGTATTGCTTATGACGTCCCCAGAGCACTTAATGCATTCACCAATACCAGCGAGGAGAGTTCGTAGGAATTCATAATTCCAGAGGTGGTATGGTACATTGAAGAGACGGATCCATACAAGAAAAGGTTGGGACACCGTTGTTAACCTGTGATCTTCCCTCCAACAGCGGAATCTTCCCCTAAAGGTGCCCATGTCTACTAGGCCGAGCTCTATGGCTTGGGCAAGTAGGGCGTCCGATGGAAACTGCACCATGAAGCTATGCCCTGCCGCGTTTTTTATTTGATGGGGCCACGACGTTAGATTGAATCGATAAGCCAGCATCTCTCTGAGCTCCTGGACGGATGGACGGCCCACTTCAAGATTGAAGATGGCGAAAGCAGAGAGATGCCTGATGGTGCTGGCGGTGGTGGTAGGGACGGTAACAAGATTGAAGATGGCGAAAGCAGAGAGATGCCTGATGGTGCTGGCGGTGGTGGTAGGGACGGTAAGCATCCTTGGTGGGGCCCGAGTAGTTATACCGGATGACAATCTCGAGAGTGGTGTCCTGACCCATGGCAATGTACACACGCGGAATCCTTATCCATCTTTGATGTTTACAAACAAAGATTGAAGAAGCTGGGTTTGAGAGTTCGTTTTGGAATAAGGGGTTTAGAGAGTCTGCCGATGCTGGTGGAAGAAGAAGAAGTTGATGGGTTATGAAGGTATGGCGGCGACGTGAGAATCGAGAGAAATAGCACTGAACTATACTATATTAAATGAGAATATATGATGGGACGACTGTTGGGGTGATAGGACATGTCTTGAAAAGGAGCAAATATCCGGTGTGTATTAAGGCAGTGATGAGAAATAATTTTCTTGGGAAGACGCGAACAAAATGAGCCAGAAATAAAATATTCGTCCATGAACTATCCTTAACCAAAGATAGAACTATGCCAAAATTATAGATAATAAGAATAAGCTTCTATTACCCTAGTTCTAACTTGTATACAGCCAGCTCTAGCACGCACCTTGCTAGTTCTATACCCAGCCATTGTTTTTTAAATGAAAAGTTATAAATTCTAACTTCTACTTCAGTTCTAACTTGTATTACCCTAGTTCTATCTTGTATACAGGAAGTTCTACAACAAACCTTGCCAGTTCTAAACACAGACCGTGTTAGTTCTAGCTCCTATCTCACCAGTTCTAACTTGTATCCCACCAGTTCTAGCCCACATCTTGCTAGTTCTAATGACATCCCTTGTTTTTTTCATGCTAAGTTGTTATTTCTGGGTTCCAAGTTAGTTCTAGCTCCTATTCCACCAGTTCTAACTTGTATCCCACCAGTTCTAGCACACATCTTGCTAGTTCTAATGACAGCCCTTGTTTTTTTCATGCTAAATTGTTATTTCTTGGTTCCACGTTAGTTCTAACTTGTATCCTAACAGTTCTAACTTGTATCCCACCAGTTCTAGCCCACATCTTGCTAGTTCTAATGACAGCCCTTGTTTTTTTTATGCTAAATTATTATTTCTTGGTTCCACGTTAGTTCTAACTTGTATCCCACCAGTTCTAACTTGTATCCCACTAGTTCTAGCCCACATCTTGCTAGTTCTAACGACAGCCCTTGTTTTATTCATGCTAAGTTGTTATTTCTGGGTTCCACGTTAGTTCTAACTTGTATCCCACCAGTTCTAACTTGTATCCCACCAGTTCTAGCCCACATCTTGCTAGTTCTAACGACAGCCCTTGTTTTTTTGATGCTAAGTTGTTATTTCTGGGTTCCACGTTAGTTCTAACTTGTATCCCACCAAATCTAACTTGTATCCTACCAGTTCTAGCCCACATCTTGCTAGTTCTAATGACAGCCCTTGTTTTCTTCTTGCTAAATTGTTAATTATAGGTTCCACATTAGTTCTAACTTGTATCCCACTAGTTTTAACTTGTATCCCACCAGTTCTAGCCCACATCTTGCTAAATCTAATGACAGCCCTTGTTTTTTTCATGCTAAGTTGTTAATTATAGGTTCCACGTTAGTTCTAACTTGTATCCCACCAGTTCTAACTTGTAT